TTGTTTTTAAGTTATGTGTTTGTTTTTGTTGATGTGCTTATGTGTTTAAAATAAAAATTTATTAAATTTAAAAAAAAGGGGGAAAAAATAAAGATGCTGAGCTTGTCAACTGGAAAGCTGACAGCCCAGGTTCAAGAACTAAGCGCTGCGCAATGAGATGAACCCACCTGTTACCTGCCTCAGCTCCTGTCCATCTAACAGTTCGAAAACATGCAGATGTGAATAGATGAATAGGTACCAGTTCAGTGGGAATAGCATTCCGTGCAGCTCAGCATATAGTCAAGCTGGCCACATGACCATGGAAATATCTTAGGACAATGCTGACTCCCTCACCTAAGAAATGGAGATAAGCATCGCCCCCTAGAGTCAGACATGGCTGGACAGAGGAAACCTTTACTTTTACCTTTAAATGTAACTATTTGCTTCCATCATATGGAATTCTGTATGGAGTTAAGTATGGTCTAAAAGAGAACAACAGGAAGGCATTTTCGTGTGCTTTCAGCAACTCACATTTTTGCAGCTGTTAAAAAATGGTTCGTAGCTTTAAGTTACAATCCAAAGGACCTTGAAGTGAATAAAAATATTGACTTTTAAATATAGTATATATATATACTCTTTGGTTGTTCAACTCCAAGCAAACCACCACTTGAGGTGGGGAAAAATGATTATGTATAGACTGCCCACATCTATGCAAAAAGCAAGGTAGATTCAGAATAATTATATGCTCCAGGGTTATTTAAGAAACTGGAGAAATCTTTAAATTAATGCCACTTATTACTCGGGTGGGGAATGCTGAAAAGATAAGTAGATATCTTGCTGAGATTCATTGATTTTTCTCATTGACAGACTACAAATAGCAGACTGGAATTGTAAAACAAGGGCAGGCAACTATTTATCTTAACAGTTAAATGTCTTCTCTGGGAATTACTAAATTTGATCTTGCAGGGGAAAACAATCCAGCCATACATTTTGTATATAAAAGCACTGAATGTATTTAATTTCTGTAATCAAATGCTAAGATTACTGTAGTTGCTTAAAATGCTGACTAACATATTTTTGAAAAAGTGAAGGCAAGAGTAAGAAGTTAGTTTAGAATGGAAATTATAAGTATACAAATTCTAATACATTTGAGATCACATCTTGATTAATAATAATCGCTATGTGTTGATTACATGAGAGCTTGATTTATGGGGCCCGGATAGCACTTTTGATAACCATGGAATGGCATTGGATGGCTGCAAAGACAATACTCCAAGAGCCAAATCTTCTTTATTTTTGATTTTCAGTTGCATTTTGCACTGTCCATTTGTTCTTGAAAATAAAACAGTATAAGATGAGGTCTACATTTATATCTGCTACAGAATAATACTTGGAGATACAGAATTAGGAAAGAAATTAGTCTCTTATCCCGTTCTCCATTCACAATAGCCTTATCTGCTAGAGATTAACTTAACTTTTTCATTCAAGATAGTTATTTAATATCATACGGAGATTCAATAACTGCCTCCTGTTGAGCCTCTTATTAGCAGTTCTGCTGCTAGGTATACTGGGTGTCTACAGCAGGGAGATGAGCCCTGTAGGCAGCAGGATCCAGCATATTTTGTTACATTGTTTACATTGAAGAGTCTGATCCGATTAAGATCTTCCTTCTCATAATCTCATATCTGGTTTATTGTAAAGATGGCCAAACTTCAATTTTATGCTTCTCAGGGCAAACAGGACATTCAGTATTCCATAGGCATATTTGTCTTCCATTACAGTAATGTAAACTAATTACAGTAGTTTGATGGGGCTTATGATTTGTTTCATAATCTTTCAAACATTTTTGGTATGGATTGTTTCAAACTTCATTCACAAAGCATATTACTGATATTTGCTGCTGCTTTTCCTCCTCTTTCTTGTTTCACTGGAAAAGAAAATTAAAACTGGAACTTCTGTCCCATAAACCACTCCCTGCTTGATTTCTACATTAGGACCAGCTGCGCATGCGTTTAAATATTTTAGGGGAGGGATTATTTTCGGGGAAGGGATTATTTTAGCACATGCCCTGAATATGAGTACTATGGTCAGATGTGTAAGTTCTATATGTGTTTCTATCTCTTTCTCGTTATTTGTTTTTAGAGGATTGGAATAACCAAAATAGATCCTAAAACATTAATTGCAGATGAGATTAACAAATTTGTGCGACTTGATATAGACACATCTACAATAACATGGAAAAGGGGTAGGTATTAAAAAAAAAAGGAGTCTCTATCTAGTCTTCTTTGCTTTTGCATAAAGTTATCAACTAGATACCGCCTGGAAAGTTTCAACCCTAACATAAACAATTACTTTTTGAAAAAATCAGAGTTTTATATGCAGTTCTTGGTAAAAGTTTCTTCTCAAAACTGATTAAGTTATTCAGTGAAAAGGAAAAGAAATCTGTGCATTTGCTTAACTAGCTTTTGTGACTTGATAACGGGCTCTGGAAACACAGCAAATTCTGACACTATCCTGATTAGTATTTTGGAAACATGTTTATAAGTATCGCTGTTATTTTTCCTGTATATTTTGTACTTTGAATTTTGAGAACTGGAAATATGATAAATGTTCCCCTTTCAATGATTTTATTGCTCTGGGCTAAAGACCCACAAAGACCTAACCTAAAAGCAATGTAAATGTTCTTCCCATTTCTTAAGCTTTTTGCAATTCTCAGAAAATTTGTTGAATGTGAAAGATCCTGCTGTAAGAATCCCACTCTCATCCAGAATAAATGCATAGGCAATTTGTAGTGGAAAGCTGTAGTGTAACTATCTTTGATTTCCTTAGTTTTTTATAATACCATAGAAACTGGAAATGTGAGAATGTTGGTAACAATTATAAACAATGGCTTGGTAATAGGTAAGCCAAAGAGTATAAATTGTGTGTCTTCCTCAAAAATGCATATATCCTGTTAGGATGGTGTATTTTTGCCACAGTCCACTTCTGACATTCACAGGTCCCATTTCCTGAAAAACCTGCATTTACTGTATTTTTCGGATTATAAGATGCACCAGAGTATAAAATGCACCATGATTTTGAAGAGGTAAATTTTTTTTAAAAATGTGTTTGCACTCTGCAGGCCTCCCAAAAGCTCTGCAAGCCTCGTTTTTTTTGTGGGGGGGAGGGCTTTGGGAGGCTCTTAGAATGCTCCTGGGGGCTGCCTCCCCCCCAAACGATCAAAAATGGCCCGGTTTTTGCTCGCTTTTGTCCTCCCCAGATCTCAGCAGCACTTTGCAAGCCTCCCAAACCCTCTGCATGTCCATTTTTGCAAAGGGGGTGAGGTTTCAGTAGGCCAAAAATGCTGTATTCAGTGTATAAGACTCACCCAGATTTTCACCCTCTTTTTGAGAGAAAAAGGTGCATCTTATACTCCGAAAAATACCGTAAATTGGATGAAGGGATTATAAATAACAGTGTTGAATGTTTCTCCAATAGGTATCTATTGAAGGAGCCCACAAACCTATGATTTATGTATTTTTTCTGATATCAAGAAATACAAAAGGAGAGGGTTTGCCTGAAGACATAACACCACACATTGCAGCATTTTATTCATTGCTGCATTTAGTAGAAGATATTTATGCTTCTTCCATGTAATCAAGACCCTGACTAGCCATGACTTCTGTTTGTCTAGAAGAGGCCTATGCACCTCTCCCTGTGTGTGGCCCTGTGCTGTCTGCTGTCATCAAATCTTAGGCTATATATTATATATATATTCGGCAGATGGAGTTTAGCATACTAACTAATCATAGAACAAATACATAATGCAATTTAGTAAATCTAGGTTGCACAACTTGAGTTACTTGTCCATCTATACCTCCTATCAAAAGATTATAAACTTGTCCCCGTTTGAGATGTAACATGGAACACCCCTATACGTTAGTTATTGCTTTCTTCTTCCATGATGTTGCAAGGTGAGAATAGCTTTCCTTCCAGAATGAGTAGCACAAATCAAAAGCATCAAGAAAATATCTGTAACTCAGAGTTTTCTAAACATTCTATTTTTGTGGCCTACAAAATGTTATTTTAGAAAGCTTGTTTGATTTTTGTACATTAGTGGTGGTTTTTCCCCTATACATATTGAATTTAAATACTATCTAATGTCTTATAAACAAAAAGCCTTCCTTAAATTTCTGCATTTTTCACTGCAGTAGAACAGTATGTCCTTCCAAATTTTAATTTTATTTCTTTATTGAACAAACATATCACCCCCTCTACCAGAAGGAATTTTGGGTGCCAAATAGAATAAAAACATATTACTTAAAAAGACTATTTAGAACATGCTCATTGTTCATTTAAATGTAAAGGTAAAGCCTCTTTCAAGTCAGATTTAACATATCAAGGTTGGGTTTTTTGGTAGCAATATGGAAGTCACTTGATCTTCCTTATTCTGGGACACTTTTTTATTTTTATTTTTGTCTACGGTCTAACCTACAGTGTTGGTGTTCCCTGGAGATCTGTCATCCAAATATTATCAGAGTTTTTAAATTTATCAAATTATTCTTATTTCCAACAATTATTGGCTTCATGGGTAATTTGGATTGTTTTAATTGAAAAATGAAGTTCCAATGATGAATGTTCAGAAAAATGGTCAATTTGGGGGGAATTCTAAGAAAAGGTCATTCTATCTTTGTAGTTGAAAGGTTAGGTTTTCCTATAGACAAAATTTAGAGCAGAAGGTTTTTTTCATATGATTTTGCTAAACAATATTTTGAATTGCATTTTGACTGTCTATGTTAAAATGTTAATAATTTGCACTCAGAAATGAACATTTTAAACATTTCTATAATCATCAAATTGCAAAATATGTCATTAAATGTAAAATTTTGCAGCAAAATTCAACCATGCAAAATATACTGTTGCTCTATCCTACTACAGTTCAATGCTTCCATAGCCTTTCAAAAGAATAACATACGCTTAAAATATATCTATAATATATTAACAGGGTGAACATTTCCTTCCCAATTTTGGTAGAACAGAAGCTTTGATACTTTAGTAAATGTTTTAGCTATTTGTTTTCCTTTCAGTGGTGGATACAAATGATAGATTCCTTAGAAAAATAACAATCGGCCAAGCAAATACAGAGAAGGGATTTTCTCGCCAGGTAAGTAAAGTTCCAATACATTGTATGTTTGAGATTAAATTTCATGTGGACTTTATGATGCTCCGTTCCTGCTATCATGGTAACCACTGGTTACTTGTATTGATAAATTAGCTCAAAAGCGATATGGATGAAATGGCCACCTGAAATTCCAGTATACTCTTGAGAGCACTTAAGAGCCTATTGCTAAACAAAATAAATATGAGAGAAGGATATCAGATGAAATATACAACCTCCTTCAAGCTTACTGTGATGGGCAGATGGGCCTAGTTCTTTATATAAACATAGCTGGAGACCTAACTAGATAAGAAATTGGTCTTCCAAATAACAATAAAGGCAATGTTATCATTTACTATGTTAAATGAGAGAATACATTATAAGCTTTCCCTAGGGCTACAGGGATCAAACCATTTAGGCACCATTCCTAGCACTCATCTAGGTACTGACCTCTTGGGATTTTATCTAGCACCATGCTGATCTTGCAGCATTATAGACCAGTAGAGGACAATATAAAATCTCCTACAAGTAAGCTTGACATTGTGTCTAAATAAACTGAAGATTGTTTTGTTGTTTTCTTAGCAAGAATATACAAGTGGTTTCCAAGACCGTCTTCTGGATATTGTTGGGTTTTTTAAAAAAACTTTTAAAAACTTCCCACTCTAGCTGACAGCTGTGAGACTATGCTAGGCATATAGGGTATCTAGTTATCAGCTTTGAAGGTCTATTTTCTGTATCTTTCCTCTTCTGTTCACAGACTCAGTTTGATATAGCTGTTGCAAGTGAAATTATGGCAATATTAGCGCTAACCAGTAGCCTGTCTGATATGAAAGAGAGACTGGGAAAAATCGTAGTTGCTAACAACACAAAAGGGCAACCTGTGACAGCAGAAGATTTGGTGTGTATTATTTACTTATAATGTTTTCATAATGTTTCAGTGGTTGACAAGCAGCAACATAATATAAAATAGTACAGTAATCATAAAAATAGTCAATTTTATCAAACAATAATACAAGCAAACATGATAGAATCATAAAACAATACCACATGTAGCATCAGACAAAACCTCATCAGTTTCCCAGTACCTCTGCCTACACATGTCTCTGTCCTCAAATCCATGCTGGAAAAGTGATGGTACAAATCTTATAGCTGGCAGGAGTGCAGGAGCTACTCTCCTGTGGAAAACATCTTTTTCAAATACTATATCTTAGCATGGAAAGCAAGCACTCTCTATCTCTTTAGGTTTTGTTTAGAGTAAGTGATCTCAATCAGCCTCTAAGGCTGTGATGGCAAACCATGCAGAGCCCTCTCTGTGGTCACGTACACCGTCGCCACCTGGTCTTTTGGTTTCCAGCACGCACATGCGCACCGGTCAACTGATCTTTACACGTGCCAGAGCCCCAAAAACCAGAAGACCAGCTGGCCGACATGTGCATGTGCACCGGCCAGCTGGTCTTCGAGTTTCTGGGGCTCCGGTGTGTGCATGTGCGTTCTGGTTTGGGTACTCAGTGCTGAAAAGGTTCGCCATTACTGCTCTAAGGCATGTAGAAATTTAAAGGGAATCCCAACATCTTGAAATGCACTTGAAAATATATCGGAGACTGATTCAGAATACATGGTGGAAGATGCCAAGACTACTGCAATTAGTAAAGAACACAGGACACTAGTTCCGACAGTATTGGTGTTTTATGACAATTTTGAGTTTTCCCTGTTAATGTGCAAAGCATTACATTTTGCATTTTTTTGTATGAGCTTTAAGCATGCAATACATTTTGAAAACTTTGTGGGGGGGGGGTAGAAATACAGTGCAGGTAAGGGATAACATGCTACCTACCTATTCATGAAGCAGTTGCTCAAACATTAATCTACATGCATACATTCTCCTTGCTTTTGTTTAAAAAAGGACCTTGATCACTTTACTTTCCTGTTGCTTTCATCTCTTTTGGAGTGCATAACATGGGAGAGCAATTGCAAGTAACTATTTGTAGAACATTAATAAAAACATCCTAAACATTTGTTTTCAAAAAATCTTATTTTTTAAATATATTCACTTGAGTGTATATTTTGATTAATAGAAAGGTAAAGGTTTCCCTGTACAGTCATGTCCTACTCTAGGGGGTGTCAGCCTCTGCTTTGCTGCTGCTTCGGCTGCCATTGAAACAGGGAGGGGGGCATGGTATCTGGGAGGGGAAGCATTGATGTGCTGGAGGAAGTTTCTAGACGCTGA